GAGTGAAGGGCGGGGTACAAATCCAGCTCTTCTCCTTCTCCTCCTCCTCCTCCTCCCCCTCCTCCCCACAAATGAAAGTATATAGGGAACATTTGGGAATTACAACAAGTAGCCAGTATCCAATGGCGTCATAACAGTCTGAACATAAGAACCAAATTAAATCTAATGTTAGGAGGTCAATAAATGGATTTCCCTTTTTTCAAAAAGTGTAAATAGTAGCCCAAGGGTTTGATGGGTGTTGTGCCAAGGAATGTTTACCCCCCTTTTTCCCTTGCATCTCCCCAATCTTAATTGGCCTCTGAAGCTGCTATTTGTCCCTCCAGCACAGATGTGCCAGGTCTGGGTTAGAAAATGCCTGGAGACTTTGGGGGTGGATCTGGGAGAGGGTGGGGTTTGGGGAGGGGAGGGACCTCAGCATGGTCCAATGCCATAGAGTTCAGCCTTCAAAGCAGCCATTTTTCTCCAGGTGAGCTGATCTCTGTCAGCTGGAGATCAGTTGTAAAAGCGGGAGATCTCCAGGCCCCACCTGGAGGCTGGCAACCCTACCCCAGCAGCCTCTGTCAAGAAAAACAACCCGTTCAGCCATGTCCTACCATAACAGGTGTTTGCCAGGCATCTTTTGAAATCCACCAGCCGGTTGATTAATGTTGTAAAGCTTTATCATTCATATCCTCCTACAGGAATTCAAGAAGTTACCAGACCAGATAGTAATCGAGGAAAGTAGGATACTTCAAAATGAATTATGTTGAGTAATAAAATTAGACAAGTTTAAATTGAAAGCATGTAGTACCAGGTAGTGCTGAGTGGGAGGTAAGCAGAATAACTATAGAAGCCAGGTAAGGAACGTCCTGTACAAGTAGGAGGAAGGTGCTTTTGGTGGACAAGGTATAAAAGAGGGATGCCTTGGAGTCTGACTATGCAAACGGGAGTCTCTTACTTCTTGGGTGTGGGGGGCATCCCCTAGTACTCAGATTTGGATTACTTTCTAAAAGTAATAATGTCTGTGGTTGCAAACTTCAGTCAATGTAATTGGTAGATTGATCAAGTGCAGCTTTATTTAATACATGGGGATCAATTCTAATTAGTGGGAGTTCAGGGCAAGTTTCTTTTTTGTTTCTATTTTCACTCCAAGATGTTGAATGAAAAGAAAATTAATATTGGCTTTTCCTTCCACCAATGTGGTAGCTTTTATTTATTAAAAAAGCATCTAAATCGATTCAAAGTTATGGAAATATTTAGATTTATGTAAAACAGTCTTACTGGACAGCCCTAGTCATTCCAAATTTCAGTGCTGTACTGTGTGTGGTATGGCTTCTTTTTACAGTTCAGGTATTAGGGAGTTTCCAGATGTGGGTGTGTAGATACAACTACCTCTTTAAAATTCCCTACAATATAGAACACAAATATTTACTCTCTTGTAATAAAACAAGGTAACAGTAGCCATATCCTAGACTGTGGGGTGGGGGGTGTTGTATTTTACCTGTTCCTTTACCCTCCGACTTGTGTGTGCTGGTGTCTTTGAATGTTTGATTGATATGTATCAGGAAAAGAACTCTTCTTTGAATGTTTGGTTGATATGTATCAGGAAGAGAAAACCGGCTACTTGTTCAGGACCCAGGATTATTCAGAGAAAGTTTCTGAGATAGTGTAGAAATATATGGAAGGGGTGGGGCTTTGAGCATCTTGAGCTAGCAAGAGAGAGAGTGTGGGTTTACAGGTCAGAGAACTGGGGAGTAGAATGTGTTCCATTGTACATCCTCCACCTCTTACTTGGGTCTGACAATACACCAGCATGCACAAGTGGAGGGTAAAGGAACAGGTTTACTAGAATATTTTCATTTGGAGATAAATCTCTGTGGGAGCTCATGCTCTTACGGAAGGACAACATCCAAGCACTGTAGATGATCTTAAACGACATACTACTCTAATTGCAAAGGTGTCTAGATCTGTACTCCAATGTACAGCACATGCCTGATGAAGAAGGTAGTGGCCAGAGGAGGCAGACTGGTAATCTCTCCCTAGGTTGTTTGAGCCATCTCAGAACTCTGCTCTGGATTGTCTGATTGTAAAGATTAGGATGGGAAGCTGTTTCTTCACTTGCTGTGGAAGCATCGTTACCTCCTCCACTGAGAAGGAAAGACTTTGTATGCCTTTCCAGTTAAACTCATTGAAAGTGCCACTTGCTTGCTTTGAATGGACGGATGTTTCGTACCTTGTCATCACCAAACAGTTTTGCTAGACGGGTAGCTCGATAAAGTTACATATGGTCTTCTGACTTTTTTCTTATTTCTGATAACTATGTCCACCTGGACTGATATGTACCTAGATAAGAATTTACAAAATAATTTAGGGGGAACAGTAGGAGAACTTGTGCGAATTTGCATGAACCTTTGTTTTTGTTATTACCAGTGTCAGATCCAGGCCTGCTGTTATGCTCTGCTAACAGTGCATCTAGTGGTAAAATTGGCTCTGATGTTTAAATATTTAGCACATTCTGTCAGGAATTGTGAAGGAGTCTGCTATGCACTAATTAGGTTAACAATGCTAAACATCTTTCCCAGACCTCCTATTGAGTAGAGAGCGCAAGGTTCATTACCCCAGCATTACCAAACAGTTTTACTATACAGCTAGCTTAATAAAATTACAGATGGTTTTCTGACCCCCCACCCCCATATTTCTGGTAATTATATCCAACCCTACAGGTCAGTAAATACATAATGTTTATAAATATAGATATGAGAATTTGTGTGAACCTTTACTTTTCTTAGCTTATTATTAACAGTGTTAAATTAGCTCATAGGCGTGTCAAGAATTTTAACACAAGTTACCTACCCATATGTATTGCAGTTGCTTGACCTGGATGGCCCAGTCTCATCAGATCTCAGAAACTAAGCAGGGTCGGCCCTTTTTAGTACTTGGATGGGAAACCACTGAGGAGGTCCAGGGCCGCTACACGGAGGCAAACAGTGGTGAACCACCTCTGAGCTTCTCTTGCCTTGAAAACCTTGTGGGGTTGCGTAAGTGACTTGAACGCACTTTCTACCACCACAGGCTGAAATTAGCCAGGTCTTGGTTTTGCCATTGGTGGGCCCATTCTTAAAAAACATTAACTTTTTTTTGTCATGGGATGGTCAGCACAAGGTGAGGAGAGTATCTCAGTGTAAGACATGGTGGTAGAGAGGTGTATCGTCTTTCTGTTTGGTCATAAGAACATAAGAGACGCCAATGTTGGATCAGGCCACAAGGCCCATCCAGTCCAACACTCTGTGTCACACAGTGGCCAGAAATACCAGTGCCATCAGGAGGTCCAGCAGTGGGGCCAGGACATTAGAAGCCCCCCGACTGTTGACCCCCCCCCAAGCACCAAGAAGACAGAGCATCACTTGCCCCAGAGCCCCTAGCTATACCTTGTGGCTAATAGCCACTGATGGACCTCTGCTCCATATGCTTATCTAATTCCCTTTTGAAGCCGTCCATGCTTGTAGCACCCACCACTTCCTGTGGCAGTGAATTCCATGTGTTAATCACTCTTTGGGTGAAGAAGTACTTCCTTTTATCCGTTCTAACCCGACCGCTCTGCAGTTTCATGGAGTGCCCACGAGTTCTGGTCCTTGTTGGATTGGGGGACAGGTGCCTTGGGCTGCTTATTCTCCCACTCTGTTCAATCTCCCCAGCTTGTGCTGATGAGTGCCGCGGAGGCTGCCTGCATGTTTGTTTGAAGGGGCTTCACTCTTTTTATTTCCCAAACTCATTCAGTAGCTGTGCTGCAGCATGCGATTGTCACACCGCTTTTCTTCTCCATATATCCTACGACAGAAAATATAGATGAGTTCCTTGCAGTATGATGCATCGCATGGCAAGCCTTAATTACCGCCTGCCTGCCTGCCTTTCAGTGTTGTGCTTCTTATTTACTTTTGAAGATTGTAATTATCAAAGTGAAGGTGAGCACTGCTTTAAAAAAAATTATCTGGAGTTCGTGCCAGTCACATCTGTGTTCTGCAAACCCCCTGCAGCAGGAAGCACTGATATAATGCACAATGTACTTCCTGAGAACCACACTATTTGAAACATTCAGAGAAGGTAAAACTAGGCAAGAGCCCTGAAATTGGTAGAGTTGTGATGAACTATATAATAATTAACCATAGACATCGGTTGCTACTGTTACATAATTATAAGGCTTTTCCGTTTAAGGCCTGAAATGCCTCAGGGTTGGGATATTTATTTATTATTTATTTATTTATTAAGACATTTATATCTCACTTTTCCTCCTGGTTCAAGCCAGCTACTTTAAGACGAGTACTTGAAGGATCCTCCCAGTACTCTTTAGCCTGCCAGTTAGGATCCTGTTCCCAAGCCATGCTTACTTAGCTGTCCTTTAGGCACCAGGACAAAACATTTCTTTAATCACAAGCTTTTAACTAAGGAGTTTGATCTATTTCAGTTGTTCTGTGGTCTGCTTCTAGCCTAACTGTTGAATGAATGCTATCTTAGGCTGCTGAACATTGTTTTATTCAGGTTGTGCCTCTCTGTGTCATTGCAAAGATGGTCCACTTCTGCAGAGACCTTTTGTCTGGTGCTAAGTGCTTTCCAGCCCATTAAAAGATCCTGGTATTGAAGGAGTGGAAGCTTCTAGTAGGATTGCCAGTGTCCAGGTGGGACCTGGGGATCCCTTGGAAGTATAGCTCATCTCCAGGCTCCATCCCCAAATCTCCAGGAGTTTCCCAACCTGGATCTGGAACCCTACCCCCCCCCATCCTCCACCAGTGGCCAAGGGGGACCTGGCAACTCTAGCATCTAGCACCAGAAGAATGTGCTTCACAGTGGAGGTCTACCCAGCCCCCATGAAAAAGGGTGCAAACAGAAGGAAGACTGAGGAATACAAATTGTAGAACTTTCTTGTGCACAGTTTGTGTGGTGCTTCCTTAGTTGTCCAGAAAATGTTCACATGTAATTAATGTACTATAAACCCAATGTAACTGTTGACTTCCTGACTGTTATAGGAAACCCAGATCTGAAAGACAAAGAGGACCAATTTGGGAGAACACCGCTCATGTACTGTGTGTTGGCCGATAGACTAGACTGTGCCGAGGCTTTACTGAAGACGGGAATAGATGTCAACAAGGCTGATCATAGCCAGAGGACAGCTCTCCACCTTGCTGCGCAAAAGGTAAGTAAAAGATGATCAGAGACACCTTCATCTGCTTCTCTGTATCCAAGGGGTATTCAGGCAGATGTGTTTCTTCAGCAGTATCCCCATTTGTCCCTTGTCAGGCCACACAGCATGCCAAAATTATTTGAAACTGAAAAGGCTTTAAAGAAACAACAGCAACAACAACATGTCACGAAAATGCTGTTGACAAAGTTCAAAAGTCCTTCTGTCCTCAGAAGACACACGTACCCTAGGCAAGTGTCAGTCTGAATATGGCCTGTTTTCCAGTTTGAGCCCATGTCCAGGCAACAACATCCTGAGTGTAAGGAAGCTGCCTTCCTTCTGCCCTCTCTCATCCTGTTTGACGATGGTGAGTGTCGAAGGGCATGGTGTTCTGTAGCTGAGTGACAGCCACCTCGAATGCCTTTCTTTGTACCCTGGCTGCCCTAGTTTGGCACATGTATTGTAAGCGAAGTATTCTTTGCCATGTTAGAACTCATGATAAAACACAAGGGAGGATGCGGTATCTTCAGTGCGCTGAGCACAGTCCATTTATGATCATCCTCTTGAGCTATATCTGGAAGAACACTGAAATGCTTGTGTGATGTGCCCAGCGATGCATTGCTGTCAGAAGGCAAGGTTGCGCCAGCTCATGTTTCCATGCAGTCATCAAAGGAAATCTCATGAGCAGTGATTTTGGTCCCTTTTGCCATCTCACGAGTATATAAATGGTGAGAACACCCTTTTGTAGGGGCTTTAATAAAGTAGTTAGATTACACGCACAGCTGTTGACAGCAGTAATATTTTGTGCTCATGCAGCAGCATTCCACGGGGATGAAACAACCATGAAACTTGTGTATGTGCACGCATTTGTGCATTTTGTGTTGCTACAATAAACTTGGGGAATAAGAGTTTTATACAGTGAAAATTCAGTTTTTTTATTGTTGCTGGAACATTTCTAATAATCTTTGAAGAACTCATTATTTCTCCCTGTAATCCTATTTGGAGGTTTAATAATTTTAAATACCGTGAGCTGAAATCTAGTATTCTAAATGAAAACCTGAACACAACTTTTGTGTGTGCTTGCATGCAAATGATGGTTTAAATATAGAAATCCTCGTTTTTGTTTGCTTTTGGAAGACTAAGAAGGGGAGTCTAAAAACTAGTGGGCATTTTGTCTTAAATTAAAAGGGCCATCAGAAAATATCAGGCCTTTGAGAAAGTGGATCAATTAACAACAATAGTTTTCCTAGGACCAGTTAACTCAGATCCATACTAGGGCCCTTTAGCACTCTTATTCCAGTAATATTTCATGCATTCTACATTCCCATAAAAATCCAGTAATGCTTGTCACCGTGGGCTAGATCTTATTGTGTTTACTTAGAAGTAAGCCCGGTTTGGTTAAAGTGTTATTTCTCTCTGCTATTTTCCTTTTCTTCCTTTTTATTTTATAGCATAATGAATCACTTTTTTTTTTATCTTGTTCATGGCATTCCTGAGTCAGTCATTAACTACCAGTTCTTATAGGAATGGGGTAGCAATTAAGTAATGCTTTTTATTTGGCAGCCAAAAGCATTATAATTTTTAATTTTTATTTTTGTGATTTTGTGTGTACATAATTGCTCTATTATAATCTTAAACAATTACAAACCAATCATGAATGGTGGCTTTGGGCATGATTTGAAAAGCAGTGGATTCCTACGCTCCTGCCCAGCCCACACACACAAACAGGAACCTATAAGTAGTTCTGTGAGTGCTTTAGATCGTCATGAGAGAATGGGTATTAATTGGTTAAGTCAGAAGTAGGAGAAAAGGTTTATGTAAAACATTTGCATGCCATCTTTCTGCCCAGCTTAGGTCCCCCAATGTGGAGAACAATCAAAATGATGTTAAAATATAGATAAATATTGTGGCCAGAGGGGTCAGCGAAGGCCAAAGGAGGCCCCACTACTGGATGAAAAGCAGCATAGCTGCTCCAGTACAGGGTGGGGCACTACTTGGGAAGGCAGTAGCAGCCTGCTGGCCCCAGCCAGAGAGGGTGTGCGCCACCTGCAGGAGAGTCTCCCCCCCCCACCAGGCAGTGACTGAGCATCGAAGCAGGGGCACAATGGGACAGTGAGGGCCTCTGGCTAGCCATATGCAAACTCAGCTGGGGTTGGGGCCAAGCAAGGAAGGGATTAAGAGAAGAAGGTCTCAGGGACGGAAGGGTGGTACTGGACTTGGCCAGCATGGGTGGAGCCCCAGGGATAGAACAGGAGATGTCAGGAGAGAAAGGCTTGCTGGCTGGGAGAGGCTGAGAAGGCACAAAGAAGGGAGGAAGAGGAACCCAAAGGAGGAGCCGGGGGCCTTGGGCAAGTTAAGCTAACCAGACCTGGGGAGTCCTGGTGGAACGGCCCCACAGAAGAGGTGCAGCTCAGCCCCATGAGGTTTTAAAGGTGCAAAGCAGGTGAGTGAAGGAGAGTGCACTTGTGTGGATATCTGTGTGGACTTTGCTCATTGTAATAAAGAGAACCTCAAGGAGCCCCACTGAGTCTGGGAGAGTCTCTGCTGCCCATGGAACATACTTATGATGTCCCCCTGCCCCTTGGTGGGACCACAAATATATAAAAAACATTTAAAACCAATAAAACATAGACACACAAACAGGGAGGAGGGCCAATCAGAGGTAGTGAGGGAATGCCAAACAAAACAAAGAGGTCTTCACCCTCTGGTGGAAGACAATGGTAGAGAAAGACAGACAAATCTCCTTGGGGAGAGAGTTCTAGAGTTTTGGTGCCATGACCAAGAGGGCCCTTTCTCAAGTTGCCACCCATCTAGATACTACCAATGCATGTACCACAGTGGCAAGATTTTTTTCTGCCCAGGAAGGATTGCAGCTGACTCACTATCCGAAGCTGCTGAAAGGCATCTGTGGACACGGCTGCCACTTGTTTCTCCAGCAGAAGGCCCAAGGTCAGCAGCATCATAAGCAACAAACCTGCTCCTTTAGGAGAAGCACAACACTTTCCAAAACGAGAGATACCTCAGTTCCTGGGTCAGTATTTCCACCCCCCCAGTAGCACCTCTGTTTGTCAGGATTAAGTTTCAGCTGGGGAGCCCCCATCCTTCCCAAAATGGCCTCCACAGCCTCCCTGAACAGTTCCCTGAATGACCTCTCCCTGCAGTGTCATATATATGCTAAAATGCATGGGGGATAAGATTGATCCTTGTGATACCCTGTAGGCAAGGGGCCAAGCAGCATTCCTCAAGCGCCACACTCTGAAACTTACCTTCAAGGTAAGACCAAAACTACTACAGAACATCCCCAAACCTGAAAGGCAGTTCAGAAGGCTACCATTATTGATGGTATCAGATGCTACCAAGAGGTTCAAGAGACAGGAAGCCTGAGAGACTATAATAGTTTTGACTGTCTGTACTGGACAGCCTTGGCATTGCAATTGCTTTTCAAGTTAAAGGGGGGAAGTCACCACTAAACAAGTCTTTTAAAAACCAGGAGAACAGCAAAGAAAACACTGAAATGCAATTAATTACCAACATCATTGTCTAAATTCTCCATTTAAACTGAATGAATGATGGCAGTTGTGGACTATAAACCCCTAGTATGAAAGCAGCCACTGCTCAACTATGACAAGCTCAGTTATAATATAGGTTGCATGTGTTAGAATAGATATTTAAGGCTATGATCATAAGTATGATTTCTATAGCTGGAGAGGAAAGTAGCACTTTGACTAGGTGACTTTTCTAAAATAAGATATATATCCTGATTAAAGGCTGTCATTACCTTTAATGAAATTGTACTTTAATCCAAACGAGATATCAGTCTCTTCCAGACAGTTTCCAGACGCTGATATCTGGTTAAAAATACTCTATCCTGGGGGGAAAACACAAATTGCCATAATACGGTTTATTTAACAAAGATTAGTGAAATTGTTTAAAAGTAGCATAAATATGGAAATGTTAACTTTTCCCCCAGGGATGATTTTTAAAAAAGACTCAAGAACCGTATATTTCTATAGAATATCTATTACTCATATTTACTCCAAAGGAAGATGACCCTGAATGTAAGATGACCTCCCCTCCAAGTTATACACAGAAAACATTTATTACTGGACCTAACTGTAACTTGTATGCAAATGTAAGAGGACCCCTTTTTCTTTCGGATGGTATACCAGGGGTGGGGAGAAACCTAGTCTTACATTTGGGTAGATGCAGTAGTTTAGAAAATGAATGACACTGCATCACTGCATGTCTAGTTTCAGAGAGCAGCCATGGTGGTCTGCTGTAAAACAGTCCAGTAGCTCCTTAGAGACCAACAAGATTTTCGGAGTATAAGTTTTCAAGACTCAAAGCTCCCTTGAAAGCTTAGACTCTGAAACTCTTTTTGGTCTCTAAGGTGCTACTGGGCTCAGATCTAACTGTTCTACTCCATGTTTTGGGAGCACAAACTGGGTCATTTTAAGTTTCTGTTTGCACTTCGGCACTTACTGTTTAACGAGGATGATTTGTGTTAAAAAGCATTTGCCATCACACTAAACAAGTTGCTCTGAGGCTGATATTTTCCTCTTGTGCCCTTTGCTGTGAGCAAAACTGTTTTGGGTTTTTTCTAGCTTTCGAAGATGTCTGCTTATTTTCTTGAAGATTAATCTAGCAAATGGGCCACACGTTTGGCAGGATGAGCCCTTTTCAAACAATGTGACAAAGAGGATCCCCTGTGAGGAGGGCTGTAACTCTTGCCCTTCCTTATCTATTTGTTGATCCCGAAATGATAGGACAAACTCAGCTTCCAAACCAAAATGATAGACGAACAGAGTGGTGGCACTCATGGAGTGGTGGCACTCATCCTTCCCAAGCCTTTGAGCACACCTGAAGTCACTCTCTGAGTCCTTGCCATTACAGATATGGATAAGAGGAAGAAACATCCTCATTCAAAGCATTTTAAAAGGCCAATTTTTGAAACAGTTAAACAAAAAGAAGCAACCTTGTAGGAGCTTGGAACAGCCACACTTTCTTTGGCGGTT